GCGGTGGTTCAGAATTATTAAAGTTACCCGACACGGTCCGATGTTACTTGGAAGGAGGGCTTATAATCAATAAGCATTCCTTCCAACTATATATATAGTATTACCTTACCAATTTCTGCCGCCAAGCAGTAACTTGAGCGTCACTGCGTTCCGGTTTTTAAGAGTAAGGGTGCTGTAGGCACAAATTGTCAACGTATGTCTCAGGGTGATAAGTGCAGTACCAGTGCCCCTCAGATCTTTGCGATTTAAAGCTCTGAGCGGTACTGCAGCTATCATGGAAAGACATGTGGCTTACCACTAGGCGCACGTCTTGTTCGTCCTATCGCTTGATATTTTAAAAAAAGAGAACGGTGTAAGTAAACAACTGTGGTGGTCTATCTATATAATATATGTGTGGACATGTAAAATCGGCTTTAGTATAATTTATCTATTGTATATTCAAAAGAATAATAAAAAGTGTGGCCTGGCTGTGATTCATGGACTATGTCCTGTCCACCCCCTTCTACCGTCGACGACTATCTTCTCGATTTTTTACGGCGTTACCGTTGTCACTTAGTTTATTTCGGACAAATCACACTTACTACATCTTCATAAAGGCATACCGTGCTAAGAAACTTATAACTAAAGTGAAAAATCATTTAGTGAATAACCCCAAAATCTTCGAAAATTCATAAAACTAAACCTTTTTTCAATTTTAGGAGGAGCTATGTTCTACCGCCATCAATCACCTGGTAGGAACAATATGAATCCGTCGCCCGGTAGTAAAAATTTCATAGCCCATATAGGTTTCCTGCACCAATAATTGCTTCTTTCAGACCAAGTTTAATTCTAGTCTTCGTAATTCTAAATGTCCAGTATTAAAACTTTTAATACACTGGTCTTCAAAAGTCTGCACAAAACCAGTATTGGAAGTGTCTAAGGCTATGAATTCGTAGGAAATCATTAAGCGACTCTTGCAATTATTTGTTTTGCACTGTCAACACAATTTAAATGTTTAACTTGGTTTGAATGTTGCTACAAAGTGAAAATCTTTCACACAATTTTGTTATATTTCACTTGCAAACAACCGAAATTCTAGTACCATGTTTTAAACATAATGTATCGGACTCATTGTATAAAATAAATGACACATAAAGCCAAGTCTTTTTAGGCAGTACATCGTAACCATCCAATATATTATTATAGTACGAAACATAATTAGATGTCCAAAATGTAAACAAAGAAATGTTATGAAATGTCATTGTCAAAGGGTGATAGCGCGTGTGCTGAACCTTCTATTTTTAACGGAATTGGAAAAGGTGTAGATTCTCATATTCTACAATTTTAATTATCTAATTAAAAAAATGACCAATAAACAAAAACTAACAACAACACACAATAATCTAACAAACGCACTACGGAGATAAGAAAACATTCGAGTTCGAGAATCGTATCAAACGTGTCATAGATGTCATTCGTGCTGAATGACACAATAAAATGGCGGCACACAAAATGTTTTTGATCTCGAATGTGTTATCAGTGTCGTAAAATTATTTACGATTTTCAACATTCTATTATAATTATTGTATTTCACGAAATTAAGTAAAAATATATATTGAAAACATATTGCCAAAAGTTAATTGTTCTAAGTTTTAGAACAATTGACATTGACAATTAACAAAAGAATTTGCTGACAAACACCATTACATATTTTATAAATAATATTATAGTATTTAGTATTATTTCTGTTCATGTTTTTTCTTGTACTAACATAGCCACTAAGAAAACTGTTACTAACCACTTTATGGACCCCGTTGTCTGAATAAAGATAAAATAAATAAAATGTATTTTTTTTGTTCTGTTAACCCGTTTGTTTACGTTATGGACATCTAATTATGATTGAAAATAAAAACATCATATCGTCAGCCACTCTTCCAACGGGTTAGGCAGATACCATAGTTTTCTAATTACACTCTTTTATTCATGCCGTTACAATCTTTGATAAAAGACAAAAGGCTCGTCTACACGGTCGAGCTACATCGCGAGTAAACTTGCACAAGCTTGCAAAGGCCGCTGCCCACTTCCGTGTTTTCACTGATCACCTCCTACTCCACCTATATAGACGAGTCCAGCGATGGATTGTCATAATGTTATTGGTTAATTATTAATATGAAAGGGCGTGACCGGTGTGTGTCTGTCAATGACTGTCGGCCATGCAAGGACATCTGTAAAATCACAGACCACCGTTAGAGGTAACGACAACTTTTCCCCGAAAAACAGCCTTCTTGAGTTTTCTCAATGTGAAGCTTGGCCATATAACAGGACCCATATAAACTTACGGTGTTGCTCCTAACAAAGACTTGAAATATCATTAACTATTATTATTTATAACAAATTTGGAAAATATGGTCCACGTATTGCCAATTAATTTGAATCCGATGCAAAACTACACTGTTCTAGTTAATTTTTTCTACAGTTTTCACTTTGTTCAATGAAAACAAAATGATATGCTCGCACATTTTTATTCCACAAAAGAAATTGCAATTTTTCACTGTTTAGTATTTGTGACTATGTAACTCATTTTGTTGAATTTCGCTCAGCTTCGGTGAACATCACGAGGTTAGTAAACACTAAATCTACATTTCATTGAACGGAAACCAATTTGCTAAAACATCGTACAATTTCGTTAAGCTGAAATTCACCAAGAAATTCTACGTAGTGTTTTATACAAATTTTAAATTGCACTTTCGAACAAGCGTCTAAGCAATGCCAGAGTTGCTCTCGGATATTTTAATCACAGATATAGGTAAAGTTTTGAATTGTATGTATCAATATGGAGAACTTTTCTATGGGAACCACTTACAAGCGTGAAAAAGCTGTCATAACCACTTAGTATTCAACTTCCTTTTTTTTTTTACACTAATTTTGAAAAGTCCGTAATACAAAGTTGTATCTTCATGGTATATATAATAAGACAAGTAGTGTAACTCCAAACAAACATAGCATTGTGGCTTGTATGTTAGCACGCTCGCCGCACGCGTGTACGGACGCACACATTCGCATAATCTCGCGGTGAAGTCGCGTTGCATACCGCGGGTTGTCACACGCACGTTCATTGTAGAATTAAAGTGTTCGCTCGGTGTTTAAAATATGGCTTCAAAACAGTATACGCGTTTGTTGTTGTGTTTTTGTTGCAATCGAGATACTAATCTGCGATGCTAGTATAAAAATATCAAATTGCATTTAAGATAGGTTATTTCAATAGAGCTCGAAAAAAAGATGAATGTAATAAGTTAAAGGTATGGTAGTTTTAATACTAGTTATAATAATAGAAGTACTATTATTCAAATTTAGCAAATTGTGGCTATCTATATGTCGCACTTGACAACTAACATAGTATTATCTCAAAAGTTGCGTAGTATCATATTTTATCTCAAAATTGCGTCATATTAATAATTTATCTCCAAAATTTCGCTATATTCATGTTTCTTTCACATGCGATTTAATTTCAAAGTGACAGGATCACACTGTCGCTAATATTAAAGTAATATTAATATAGAGCCGTTTTGAGATAATAAAAGTTAGTTGTTATGTGCGATATATGAGAGCGGTGTACACATGCCCTGACAAGCCTAAAAGGAAACATCAGCCTCTGAACCAAGCAGTATGTGAAATTAACAATTAAACATTTTGTAACAACCCTATTTTATATCATAGACTTTACATGTTCTGTAATCTGTGACTTTACTAATCAACGTTGTTTGTCAGATAGTTCTCTAAAAATTTTACTTTCTCTAGACTTTTTTTTTCCTGCATCGCGGTGTTTAGATTTTCCCTCGGATGGTGACTACTTGAACCGAATTTTATTTATATGGGAGAAACATCAGTACTATTGATACGTATTTAGGAGTTGAGTCCTTGTGGGAACGACTGCCTGGACCTATCTGATAGTTACTGTTATATCTTTTTGCATTTGTACCTGTAGTACCGCCCTCGCCGGTTAAAATTAACTTGGCACCTTGCATGAACTTTTGGAAATAAAACCCGACCTTGGGCTGGAAGTTTTTTTACTCAATTTGATGACGTCATCAAGGAAGAAAAGAACCCCGTCTACAATTTTTATTTCTTAGTATTCTTTTTTATTTATTACGACTACAATACTGTGAAAACCTTATACAACCAGTAGGTACAACAAAAATATTCATTTATTTATTTATAATAATGTGATAACCGTATGCTCTGAGCAAAGCGCAAACAGAAGTTTTTTTTTATAATACCAAGTTACGAACAAGTCGTGAACCGGGCGCTAAGCGACACGCCTGTCCATAGCAATACTTGTCTTATTATATTGTAATTGTATGATCATGCCATAGAATGAAAAAAATTACGCTGTACACTAAATCTTATTAACTATGTAGTTACTTAGCAACACAGCTGGATAGAAAATTTAATCAAAAAAGTTGCGGTTTCCGTTTCAGCTGCAAAAATTATATTATAATGCGATGCAACACTTGGTCCCTTAAGGTGCTTTTCCACCAGCGAGGCGAGACGAGACGAGGATTGAAATTTGTATGGCCAAATTTTAATTCTCTCCTAGCTCATTTTCAGTGGAAATGGCCAGGATTAACGGGGATGTGGCAGGTGAGAATTGAAATGTTCGTTGATGTAAACATTGGAGTGTATTTCTCCCTACATAGAGTATTTATTAACTCTACAACGGAAACACGATTAATAGGAATTTTTAGTGGAAATACTCTGGCGAGATATTAATTCTGATCTCGCCTCGTCGCGCCTCGCCAGTGGAAAAGCACCCTTAGTTTCGGGACAAACCATTACTAAGCCGAACTTACGACACGGAACTTCGATGTAACTACGCTCGCAGTATTTTTTATATTTGCCTCGTTACACGGAAATAATTTAAAAAGTATTTTAAGCGTAACTACGCTGAAGATCGCGAACGTAATTTTACTCTACAAACAAATGCAATATACATAATATACCCAATGTATATTATTTTTCAGAAATCGCGGAGCTAACTCACAAATTTTCGTCTGTGACTTTATATCGCAACCAGACAGTGAGATATTCCGCCAGAATGCACGCAATCATCGCTTGCCAGATGGAATTCCAACTCTACCCCATGGACATACAGTCATGTCCTATTTACATTGAAAGTTGTAAGTATAATTGTTCCTAAACTTTAATGTCGCCTTTATGAACATTATCGGTTATAATGGGTCGGTATCGCAATGACTATGTTATTTTCAAAATAGCCTGATTAGCATAAACGTAAAAAAATAAAAATTGTAGACGAAACTTGAAAATCGTAGAAAAATGCCTTATTTTGCTACTTTGGAGTGCAAAAATAATTGTCGTACTTGGATCTATGATGGTGTTTCATATCCTAATTACGTCAAATTTATTTAATTTTAATAAATTTTTAATTTCCCGTTTATCGTAACTTTATTTTGTTACAAAAACGAAAGTAAACCTTGTATTGCTACAATATAAAACCTGTTTTTGGAGAACTAAGTAAACTTCTCAAATTCCTCGTCGTTCAGCTGACCGCTAGATGGCAGCACATTAATTGAAATTTCAATATAAAATCATAACAACGTCGTAACTTTCAATAATAAGTATTGAACTTACAACGATATACCAAATAAAGTCAAGTTTAAATTGAATATCAATTCAATAAAACTTTGAAATTCAGCGAATAGCGACATCTCTCGCCAGGGCTGGTAGCTGTAAAGGTATCTAACTGGGTGATAAAACTTTCATATGTGGCGCTAAAAAGTCGTTGAAAAACCAAATACGAAGACACGACAACAAGCACAAGGAATTTTTTCTGAGTGCTCGGTCTTTATATCAATTATTTATTTCTTTTTAAATTAGAAACTACGCAATTTAAAAATAAATAAATAATTAATATGGTTTAAACTTTACCAATCATCATTAACATAGTGTGTAAGAAAGTGTTTTAAATATTAATGTGTGAGCTTTGACGACAGAGGTTCTAATAGTAATCGAGACTTGACACGTCCATAGTTTTTTCTTTCGGTGACAAAAGTGTTTCCCTCAACGGCTCCTTTATGGTCTTACTCTGACATTTATGTATACCTACCATTGACTTACAATTATATGGACGTCGGGTCCGCGCCAAAAAGTGTCCGAACTTATAGGGCGTTAAAATCGTATACAGAGCGTCATTCACGCTCTAGTCTTCGTTTGTTCGACTGACAGCGAAGCAAGCAAAATTAGACAGTACTGCGATGACATTACAATTTAAATTCAACGTTTTAGCTTTTTCATATTCCTTGACATGTCACTACGTTAAAATAGGTTGACTTGGGACATTCTTTTCGTGGTTTTTGTATTAGACCCGTCGTCCATTTATTTATAAGTCAATGATACCTACACATAATTTGACATTTATTTATGTAAACTTATACTTACTAATAAATGACTTAGTTATTAATACTAGACACTAAAATATAATGGCTTGTTAATCGTCCTTACAAAGTCATTTAAAGCGCAATTTACACGCTTCTAGAGTAACATGCCAACAGATATTCAAAATTTGTTACATACGAGGCGCAAAATCGTGAAACAAAATTACAAATTTTAAACATAATCTTATTAAACAACTGCGTACCTGTATGACATGTTTTTATACGATATGTTAAACTAAATATTGTAAATAACATTTGTATTTCTTTATAATAAAGAATACATTTACGATTACTCATTATTTTCATGAGAATATGCCTCACGAATGTGTATTAGGGCGCCTTCAAATAAGACGCTTATAAAAGCGCGGTAGGGGGCGCGACTGTGGTGCGGCAGCCGCGCGTACGCCTCTAGATTAGCGATGGGCGATAGTTGCTAAAAATAATCGCAATAATTCGATTGTTGGTATCAATTAGTTAACACTTCACTTTATGATTGTTGATCAAATCGATTGTGAGTCGAAATGGTTAGATAGATAGATAGGTAGAATACGTTTATTGACTTACCACAAGCACACACAATAATATGAAACAACAAATAGCTAAAGAAAGAAAGAAGACAAAAAAAACTCAAAACAAAACATACAAAATAACAAAAAGGTATGAAATCAATAAATATACACAATAAACGACATGTATCTACAATTAATTAAAAAGCAAGTTGTGAGTGCTAATCTACTATAATAATTTTTAATTGTTGATCAAATATCTTAATAGTAATAGGACTGAATATTAATAAATTAGTAATAGGATCGATTTTTTATATTCCGTAGGACCATTTTTATAGTCACCGAAAATTTAACTAGTAATTACTGAATTTGTAAAGGATAGTGCAATTGTCGATTAATTAGATATTTTTTTAGTAATAATAGGCCATCGCTATCCTAAATATTGTATATATGCAAATTAATAGTAGCGAGTCTGTGGCGCAGCAACCGCGCCTCTGTTAATTTTCATACATGCTATATAATATTAAGAATATATAACCTAAATAATTTATATGTATATACTAAATATACTCAACGCTTTTATAAGCATCTAATTTAAAGGCGCCTACGCCTTTAGTGTTCAATTGAACCCTATTCAAAATGTTTTATTGCTTATAATGTTGTTTAAAGTTGAGGATTTCAGATGTGTTTTCCTGTAGATTGCATCACAAGAATTTACTTCATACTGAAATAATATACATATCTAATAAAAGATTTAAATATATCGCTCTAGAAGTGACTGCATAGGGCGACGGTGCAAAATTTGTTTTTTAACATTCAAAGGCCCCGCACTAGGGATATCCTGCATCACGGATACCATGGACACACACATAGACAACAACAAATTACACCCAAACTCACGAGAGAAATAAATGTAGGCCATACAAATATTTCTCCCGGTACGGGAATCGAACCCGGGACCTCTTGCGTGGCAGTTCAGTATGGTAACCGTTCGGCCACGGAGGTAGTTAAATCGCTGTGCTTGCGATTTATAGGCGATTGCATCGATACAAACGCGCGATTGCATCGATGCTATCGCTTATAAATCACAAGTGTAGCGATGCAGTCGCCTATTTGTATCGCTGCTTAAAATCGCGCGTGTGTGTAAAAGTAGACGATTAGCCACTGCATTGCGTTTGTACCGCGTTTGCATCGCGTTTAGATCGCTGCTAAAAATCGCGCGTGTGTGTAAATGTAGACGATTAGCTAAGGCATCGCGTTTGTACCGCGTTTGCATCGCGTTTACATAGCTGCTAAAAATCGCGCGTGTGTGTAAATTGTAGACGATTAGCTAATGCATCGCGTTGTACCGTGTTTGCATCGCGTTAACATCGCGCGTGTGTGTAAATGTAGACGATTAGCTAATGCATCGCATTTGTACCGCGTTTGCATCGC